TATTAATTTAATAATACGTAATGCAACACATAATATATTTTAAAGTTACTTACATTTTACATGTAAGACTTCAGATCATAATAAAACAATTTCACACAATGACGCTATACGTTAACCACAATTACTGAATTGTATTTTCTAAATTAATTTTCAAAACGTTGTTAAATCAATAACATTTTTTAATAGTGTTTTATTGTATGAGACAATTATTTTTAACCACAATTCAGATATGAATAATGTGGTTTATAGAATTGTTTGCCTACTTTCTCTTCTTCCGCCCCCGCCCTATGGGATTTAACATGGAATTACAGCTTAAACCTATGGTAAAACATGAGTAATGCTAATTCTATATAGCTTTTCCCATAGATTTAACCTGGGCTAATGTTATCCCATAGTTAATGTTAATCCTAAGGGGAGATTATTTTTTTTTGGGAAAGCGAAATATGATAGGAAAAGGTAGTTTTTCTCCATGTTAATCCTATGAGATTACAACTTAACTCTATGACATAGATTTAACATGGGTAATACTAAGTCTATAGGTATAATGCTTATTCTATGGGTAATACTAAGTCTAAGGGATTAATGCTTATCTTATGGACAATGTCAAGTTTATAGGACTAATGATTTAGAATGGTTTTCTATGAGATTATAGCTTAAGTCTATGACATAAGTGATGTTAGGTCTATGGGAATGATAATCCTATGGACAATGTTAGAACTCTAGAAATCTAATGCTTTATAATGGATTATCACCAAATAAAAATCAACAAAAACATTAGAAAATTTTCAAAAAAACAATAATGTAAAATAACAATGAAAATTTAAAATTATATTAATTTAACAATGCTTTAAAAATTACACTTAAAAAATATAATTCTTATACGCAATATCTAAGTACAATCTATCCTTTGAGTAATATCCGAATTGTGGTTAATGTATAGCATCGCTGTGTGTGAGTAATACCTCAATTGTGGTTAATGTATAGCATCGCTGTGTGAACCTTGTTTTTAATTGTACATGAACGACAATTTTATGTTTAATTTTTATTTTTTGTTAAAACAATCTTGGTACAATCTAAATAATCTATCTAAATAACTATATATGTTTTATATTATTCATCAAACTGTTTCCTTTATAACAAAATACGTTATAAACCTTAGACATGTTTATTAACTAAATAAAACTTATACTTATTCGAAAATAAACCGTAAAGTATGGCTATTGTGTCGGCGATTAAATACACGGTTGGAGCAAATAGTGAGCCAAACATTAGCATAACATACCGTTTGACACCAACCTTGCGTACGTTAAACATTTTATACGTACCAAAAATAAACATATAATTAGTGTTTGCATCCATAAAGGCCTGCAATACAGATACCCATGAAATTGAGTATTGGGGCATAAAATATAGAAATAGTGATAACAATTTTGGCAGTGCCATGGTCATATAGCCGTAAAATGACATGGCGCGCAACAGTTTGCATGACCATGGTATATTAGGCGAATGCACAACCAGCCATATGCCTTGCATCCAGCGTTTACGCTGTTCAATGTAGTCCCAAATGGTGAAAGGTGACTTTTCCCACATCGGGCCCTCAATCCAACCAAACGTGTGCCGACCCATCAATGCTCTCATTGCAAAATAGCAGTCCTCGGCTACAGAACCGTCCAACCCGTGGTCATACGATACTTCCAATTCGGCTTTTACGCGGCATACCATGTACGAGCCTGGTGAATTTATATTTCAAACAATATTGCACCACTTAGCAATAGATTATATGAGTATTATTACTAATTGTGCTCTACCTTTCCAACTGAAAAGCGCTTGGTTTAGGTACTGGAGTTGAAAACGCATTTTTCCCATATCGTCGGCCACCCGGTGGGCGTCCATAAGCGTAACCCACGGGTTGACCACCTGTTGGTCGGCGTAAGTGATGAGTCCCTGACCAAAGTCGTGTTGCCCGTCGACCACAAAGTTAACGATACCCCTAACGGACTGTGCGCTCATCACTGTCTCCTCGTCCAAGTGTACGATCCAATCGTTGTCCGCCATATCATTGGTATCCAACCGGTATTGTAGAGCCCG